GGGACCGTTTGCTTCGGGTGTTGATTGTTGGTGTCCGATCGCAACCAGAGCCACTGAGGGACGGTTGGGACTGCGTGGGCATTTCTTTGCAGAACAGGAGCCAGCTAAGAAGAAAGAACCGAGTCAGAGGAAGACGAAGAAGAAGAAGAAGAAGAAGAAGTTAAAGCAGAAGAAGAAGAGGAGGAGGAAGAAGAAGACAAAAAATGACAAGACAAAGAAACACAAGTCTAGCAACCCTGCGAATCTGGGCGAAATGAACCGGGTTTGGATATGTTTTTATCCGTTACCCAGCCTTGGTCCCTCAAAACCACAGGGGATTGGAGGGTCTTGACCCCTTCAGAGGATTCCGGTACAGCCCCGGTCCCTGAATGGAGGTTGCCTCCTGGTCCAACTTCTTTACCGACAGGGAGATCCATGGGGGGCACCTCTTTGAAGAGCTTTAAATCAGTTCAAATCGATCATGTTGATGAGTTCAATCACCCCAAATGGAGATATCTTACATCCTTCTGCACCGAACACCTCTTCTTTTTTCACCCAAAAGACCGAGGCGAGACTCCGCGGTTCAGACGTCTGAAGACCCCGCGGCCGATGCCCGAACGCCAGGTGCAAATACTTGAAGATCGGCGTATGGGATCGCTTCGGTGAGGAGAAGATCAACAGCACCGATCAGTTCCGTGGCAGTTCACTGAAAGATCGCACCTTCATCTGTCTGAAAATCAGAGGTCCCGAAACGAAGCTGAAGATCCAAGGATGGAAACGTGTGAAAAACCGTTTCACCTTGACTGGGAATGATTGAGTTCCACTGACTCATGTGTTTTCCTTTGTGAGTTGAAACCACCCAGGCGGGTTCTTTCGGGACAGAGTGAGCAGTGACAAACAGCGTGACGGGATTCATTTGATTTTTTTGCGGGTCATGTTGGTTCCATGTTGTAGGTGAACAGATAGATGCACTTGTGTGGTTTCTTTGGATTTCATGTTGCTGAATGAGATCATGCTGCCATGCTTGGTTTGTGATTTGTACGCTGTGAAGGGATGCAAGCATTGTTTGTTCAATGATGTGATGATTGTTATCCTGGCGCTCTTTTCTTTTTGTTCCCAAACCCGGCGCACGAACGCTTGGGTGTTTCTCGCATTCAGCGCATTGAGCCGACAATGGCGCCACGGCCCAGGTTTCATTACATCCCAGTGGACCACAAGGGCCAATACAAGGGGATGGACTGGAACCCTAGGGGATGGCTCCTGGATGGCTTGGGGAGATCGTTTTTGGAACCGTTTTGATCGCCTAAGTAGCTCTCTTTGTGAGGGCGCGAAACCGAAGGCGCATTGGCAAGAAGAGGGTGCTCAGGGTCAGAAGTTTGCACATCTGAATCAGTCGGAGGCCTGGGCTGCCAGAATTCAGCACTTTTTGTTCAGAGCACCGGAATGGATGCCCTTTTTTTTGCTATGATATGTCACATATGTCTGCATCTAACCAAGCTAGCAGCAAAAAACACACCGAATTGAGCAGCATCCCAAAAAAGTCAGTAATTCAGAATTCATAGGGCCATAGGCGGCAATGGGGCCTCATAGGGCTATAAAACGATCATCTTCTCGAAAGGAATTTTGCTCAAAACACCGCTGCTCATGTTACACATGTTGGTATGGATTGGTGTTTTGCTTCTTTTTTTAGAGCATCCTTGTTTGGTCATTGTTTGGGTCTGTTCTTCGCGATTGAACTATGAACATGTGAAGGCAGTGAACCCAGAAACTAGGCACTTGAAGGGTGTTACGGTAAGGTAAAACATCATTCACCCCTTTTTCCACGCGGTGTTTTTTTTCCATTACATCCTGGTGGACCACAAGGGCCAACACAAGGGGGGATGGACTGGGACCTTAGGATGCTCCTGGATGGTGGTTTGGGGAGATGATGATGTGCTCTTTTTGTGTGTGTATATGTTTTCTCAGACTTTTTAGGAGATCGCAAAACTGAGGCCTATAGCAAAGAGGAGATCACACTCCTCGAGCAGGCTCTTTTGGTCAGAGACAACCGAGAGCACGGACTTCCAATGGGGGGCAGCGTTTTGGATACATTCAAAAACTCAAGATCTATCCTATTGGTTTCAATCATCCAAGATATCCCAGAGTAAAGGTTGAAAGAAGACACCCAGAGTCGACCAGTTCGTACCCGAAGTGGACAGTTGTACTTTGTTTGTTCGGGTCATGTCCCATTGGCGAACCGGTATGCTACGGTGCCTGAAAGATTCGATCGTTTTTTAAACCGAGCGTGGAGCACGCGGAGCACGCGGAGCAAGCTCAACTGACATGTGGAATGAAGCCAGTTCAAGTGATATGCAAGCTGCCCATCAGAGCATGTACCCTGATAGATGAAGTGCAGCTTTCTTAACAAGCTACCCTACTGCTGCTATATAAGGTTGGATGCGGTTTTCTTTAATTAACAAGCTACTCATGACAAATCCACCAGACACCACACGCCTCACCACATGGCAGGCAGACGCCACCACTGATGTCACAGATGCCGAGAAGAAGGAGCTGGATGCTGACTGGTGGGGTCCCTGGATCTTGGATCACCTCCTTTCGGGGGAAAAAGGGGGTGAAACAGCCCACGGATCAAATCTCACCGGTGGAACGTTTGCTTCATTCATGTTCTTTTCTCAACATCGAAACTGCAGTTCGTACCTCGGGTTCAATGGGTACTTACGTACCTGTTTTATATGGGGTCATGTCCCGTTTTCTAAGGTACTGGGTCAGTCGGGTCCAGGTGCAGATCAAATGTTTCGTCGGACCAACAGAAACTCGGACGCTGCAGAAAATCGGATCGCCAGACTCGTCAACCCCACAGTCCGCCGGCGTCGACCGATGTCGACCGGTGAAGCGCTTGGTGAAGCCGTTCTGGCGAAGGAAAGGGCGAGGTAGTGGCGCTTGATGATTCTTATTTTCTCCAAGGGAGTGAATATGCCGAACTTGGGGAATCTTTGTTTGGCTTGTGAAAACATCCAAATTGATCATGGGCTGAAGAATGCCTTCACTATCCTTCACTTTAACCTTCAAACGGCTATAGGTCGGTCGAAACACCGAAGAACGGCCATAAAGACTTTTCCTCGCAACGTGTCACGTGTCACTCGTCGTTTTTGGGTGTCTCGACGTCAGGTCATCGTCGAGTGACAACTTCAAGCATCAGGACCGGTGGTGTTTGGCTCGGCGTCCTGGTCGGGGTCGGTCCGGTTTGGGCGGTTTGGGCGGTCGAAAACGCTGATGTACAGGTGGTATCGTAGGCACTCATGTTGCGGAGAGATGAACTGGGCTGTGCAAGACCGAGCTTCTAAAGCCGTGAGGGTTCCCTACTTGTCAAATACCTCATTGCACTTGAGTTTGTCATAGAATACCACCACTCATTCGATGCAAAAGACCAGTCTTCTTGAATTTTTTTTGTATGTTCGATTTTGTTTGCAAATATATATATATTATATATCATTTGGTTAGAGCATGGCCATTTCATCATCCATTGTGGGCTTCTGCATTCTGCATCAACCGGTTTCATCCGAGCCATCCTGTATCAACCGGGAATCTCTCTCATACCGACCGTTGCCCAAAAACATTGGAAGAATTGAACAAAAATAAACTCATCGAGCGATGCGACAGAGATACGTCGTTAAGTCCCTGAGCCGGTGACTCGTTCACGCCCGTTTTGGTGCGTTTGATGTCCCACCTCTGAAAAAGCAAATACCCCTATAATAGACCCCAACAAATCATTCCGGTTCATGCTATCTCAGGCTATCTCTCTGCACGTGCTCGTCCCGTCCAGGACTTCAAGGCCGCGGTGACTTTCCACGAGTTTACCCTGGCGCCTCCCGTCGACCGGTCTCCGGTTCGGTAGCCGTCGACGGTTCCGGTCTCCGGTTTCGAGCGGCTCGGGCGTCCGACGTGTGCTGTTACGGCAGCATGATTCGGAGTCAACCTGGAGTCGACGTAGCTCCGAGTTGACGGGTACAAGCATGTACAAGTAGACATCCATTAATGCTATCAACTGTATATACCTGTTTTTTTTTTAAACGGGGTCTTGTCTTGGTCCGATGCTCTAGGGAACGTCGGATGGCAAGTCAAGGCCAGAAAGTGCGTCGATGAACGGGTCTCCTGTTTGGAGATCCCGGGTAGACGGCGTAGACGGACACGGGGTCCTGGATGGCGCGAAGCATGGAATGTGCCCTAGGAATCCGCGCCCTAGGGTTTGAAGGGTCCGTTTTCCTCCTGCGTTTCGGTGGAGAAGGTCCGACCCCTGCAGCTCGGATTCTTAGGGTGGAAATCGGTCAGTGACCTTGGAACTACTCGTTGCACGACCAGTCTGCTCTACGAACCAGCCGAGCATGAAGAAGGTATAGACACAGCTGCTGTGCAGTGGTCTAAACATATTTGACCTGGGATCCGACTTCAAGTACCCTAGAAAATGGGACAGTGACGTGACAAGACCCATCATGACCCTATATAATTTTAAACAGAAGGTACTTGTGCCATCCGTGTATTTTCGGAAGTACGAACTCAGACTCCATTCTGTTTTTACTGGGTCATGATGCTCAAGATGAGCCCAGAGTAGGTCACTGATGATTCCAGTGTCAAGGTCGCCCTGGTGACTCCAACCATCAATCGGAACCTCCAAAGTGTACCCTGCAGATTCACCATGGAACTGGCTAGCGAGAAAACTGCGACCTCAAACCGATGAAGGACCCCCGTCCCATCGGGTGCCCTCAGTCCGATCTCAGTCCTGCCCTCCCGACTCGCGGCTCTTGGGTTCGGGCTCGCAAGCCAGCAGCAGCTGTCAAGCAGCTGTTTCTCCGGTTTCGTGGAGAAGCATGCTATTAAGGAAGTATCAAGACAACAGGGCAAAGCCTTTTGAGCTGCTCTCCATCCTTAAGACATCATTGGACTGGAAAAATAAAATGCCCACATTTCAGACTCAAAACCACCCCAATGTAGTCAAATATGGCATCCGCGGGATGTCAGACCTGAATCATCTCTGAATCGCCCAATTTCCGCCGTTTCCCTGGCTTGCTCTCTCCTCATGGGTTGCAAGCAAAGCCGGGAGAGTGAGGGTGGCCCAGAGGATGTGCGACGTGGAGACTAGAAATCGATGTCTTGAAAACCCCGCGAGTGAGGCTCTAGCAGACTGCTCTAGCAAACAGGCAAACATCCCTGGCAGTTCAACTGGATACTGAGCTGAGGTGCTTCAGAAGCATTCCATTTCTGAATCCTTGATTTGATCGGCTGTTGAAGACTAAAGACGGTGCAACCAAACGAATTCAATCCACGAATCCCGATGAAAAGGACTATGCTTACAAGTCTAGGACTGGACTTGATTGTTCAGAACTGAGGTGCAGAAAACTATGCCAACGAACTACCAGAGGCACCATCGGACATGCCAAAAGGATCGAAACGGCCCGGTTGAAGAATTCGAGGATAGTATGGCCATGGGCCCCTGGGAGAAGAATGATGTTCGGAAGACAGGTGTTGGTTTTTGATCCATGACACATGAGTTGCAGTGTCAGGGCCGGGATTGATTCCGCGTGTCCGACTGCACGGACTTTTGATGGCAAAAAAAGGCTTCGTTGGTACACTTCGGATTTGTGCGTTGCACAACCTCAAACTTGGTACACTTCTCGGTTCGTGCACCTTCTACAAACTTCAAGCATGGTACACTTCTCAAATTTATGCACCAGCACTCCCCCTTCGCTGTTCCAGCGAACCATGGTGCTTGGAAAACTCCAAAATCCCCCCCTCCTTGGGGGGGGTGCTCAAGCCCTCTCACTCATGGGGTCCGGAACAAGGTGTAGCCGAACCAAGTGAAGTCGAGGTGGATCCCTCTTCGTCCGTTCCTCTCATCCACATAGATCATCTTCTTCTTTGAGATGACATCCCATGCCACCGTCATACGCCAAGGCCCCCACTCCTCCTCCAACAGGACCTTGGATTCAAAGTCGTAGACCTTCTTCCGGTCCTGGTGGTGGACCCTGATGGCAATCTTCCTCCCCTTTTCGTGGTTGATCAAATGTTCCCACGAGTCCTTCGCCGCTGTCCTTCGCGGCGGCACTGAGACCACCTTCAAGACCTCCTCGTTCAGGAACCCCTTTTGGAATCCAGGCATCCTCAGGTAGTCCCACATTTCCTCTTCATGGCACCACTTCCCGAGCACCACATTCTCTTCCACGGTGGTGACCAACCGTAGAGGCTCAACCCTGGGCGGCCTTCTCTCCACCTGCTCCCCAGCTGAAGTCGTCCCTCCCTGTGGTTGACCATCTCCTCCACCACTTCCTTGAGCATCAGACTTGACGGGGTGCACCGATCCCAGCCCGTCTCCAGGGTCATGAGAAATGAAGTGCACTCCCTCAGAGTCCATCATCACCCATGTTCCTCCATGGTTTCTCCTTGGCCCCCTCCTGATCATAGACCTGTCCCAGGCACTCATCGGCAGACCCAGGTTCGCTCTTCTTCGTTCCTCCGCCTCGGCATCATAGGCTCCTCGACACCATAGTCCAGAATCGGGTACTTGAGGATCTCCAGAACCTCCTTGGTGTCGTTGTGATAGTCCTCCTTCCTCCCCGGCTTCCGTCTGGGTGCCCCGGTTCTCGACAGTCTCACGTCGCCCGCTTCTCAGTCTCATCGCCCTGATCGAGATGCGATCAACTGGATTTCTCGTTCCCAGTTCTTGACGCTGGTAGAGGGGATCATCCGGTTCTGCCCATGGATAGAGTTCTTCGTGGCCAGAATAGCCGAACCCCCTCGAGCCCCGAACCGTCTCCGTCAGGTGCTCCACACTGTTGACCCCCACTTCCATGATCTTCTCGATCACCAGCTGTGCCACTCGATCCCCTTTGTAAATGAAGAGGTCCTCGTCACTCCAGTTTCGAAGAAGCACCTTCACCTCACCTCGGAAGTCACGGTCAATGACCCCAGCCCCTGTTTCTATTCCTCTGATTGCCAGGCTCGACCTTGGTGCCACTCGTCCGTAGGTCCCTGGGGGAAGTTCGATCGCCAGACCAGTCTTCACCAGGACGCTGTCGCCTGAAGGGACCATGGTTTCGATGACCGAATGAAGGTCCAAGCCGGCTGCCTGCTCTGAGCCACGGACTGGTAGACGTGCATCAGGGTGAAGGAGTTTCACCTTGAGCTCCTCCCTGGGCGACATCCATCTTCTGACTCCCGCAGTTCCAACCCGGAACAAAATGTCCCCGATGATTGCTATCGCTGCGGTAAGGAGCACCAGAATCCACCATTCGCTGCCTCCGCCATCCGATCGGGTGTCACTGGCTTCAGCCTGAGTGATCAAGCTCGTAGCAGCGATCAGTAGCCCCAGCCCTCTCGCAAACCTGGGATCAGGATTTTTTCTCCCCATCTCCAGCCTCTTCATCTCCATCTTCTCGATTACCTGAACCTTCTCCTATCCCAGGGTCTCCTTGAAGTTCTTCAGGGGTTGGCCGGTCAGTTGCTTCGTCATCCCATCCGCCACTAGCTCAACCCCGGCCACATGTCTCAACGAAACCTCTCGTGACCTCAGTGCTTCCGTGAGTCCTGCTGCTCGGATTCTCAGGTGCCGTGTCCTCCACGAGGAGGTAGTGCCTGCAGCAATCGCTATGGCCGCCGTGGAGTCAGAGTGCATCTTCATCGTCACCTTTCTCTCAAGCACCGCTTCCACCAAGGCTCCTGTTGAGCGGAGGGTCACCAGGCCTTCTAACATCGCCATCAGCTCGGCCTCCGCTGTGGAGAGGGTGATAAATGCCTGTCTCGTAGTGTGCCAAGCAATGGGAGTCCCTCCGTAGCACACTACCACCCCAGTCAGGCTCTTGAGGTCGGAGGAAGCGTACGATGCATCCGAGTAGACCTCCACGTCCCCCAGAACTTCCTCCGCCACTTCTTTCTTTCCATCCCCTCCCTTGATGACCAGTCCCTCATCTCTGGTCTCTCGAAGATAAGCTCGAACTTGAGCTCCAATGGCGATCACGCCCTTCGGCCTCTTAGTCGCCCATTGGCACATGAGGCTCACTGCCAGGCAAATGTCTGGGCGTGTTCTTCCGGCGACCCAAAGCAGCTCTCCAGTTTCCTTCTGGGCTCTCGTCACATCGACCGCCAGGGGTGGATCCTCCTCCTCAGGCGTCTTGATGTTCCCGAGTGATGACCTTCCCTTCTCGTCATACTCCACGAAGAGATTCTCCAGGCACGCCCTCTGGTGGATCACATAGTCCCGCCCACGCCTCTCGATCTCCATTCCCAGAAATCTGACTGGTTCCCGGCCTTCTTCGACCCACTCTGGTTCCCCAATTTTCCAGTGCTCTCGGACTCGTTGATGAAATTGCTCAATCACTTTCCTCTCCCCGGTGACGAGGATGTCATCCACGTATGTTGCGCATAGTCCTGCAAGCTGCCAACCTCCATCTCCTTCGACCCCAGAGTTACTCCGGCTTTTGATCGCCCAAACATCATCTTGAGCGGTCCCTTCCATCATGTACTGGGTGTCCTCGATCTCCCACTTGAAAGTCTTGATCTTCTCATCTCTGTGGACAATCCAATCCCGAGGAGACGTCACAAGCCCGTACAAGGCTTTCTTGACCAGCCAGTACTCCGTGGGGTGTCGAAGCACTTCCGCCTCCTTGAAGATGCGAGGCGGTTCCACGACTACTGTGCCTCGTTGGCTTCCGGCGGCCTCATTCACTGGAGCGTTGAGGAAGGCGGTCTTGACATCGATGGTCGAGAGGTTCCATCCGCGAACAGCAGCCACCTTCATCAACATCCGCACCTCAATGCCACTAGCTCCGGACGCAAAGGTGGACTCGCTGCTCTTCGCGTGCATGAAGTTTCCACAGGCGACCCCTCGACACTTGTGGCGACCCGTGCCAGCTTTTCGACTGAAGATGGCCTTCGCAGGGACCAGGTCAAAGTCCTTTCCTGACTCAGCTGCCTGCTTCCGGAGCTCCTCCATCCGGGCACGGTCGATCGGCTCAACCGCCTCTGATTCTGTGACTAGGGCACCATACTCCTCCACCATCGATGGTCTCCACTCGGCCATGTTCTTCCTGACCTCGGCCAAGCCCACCATTCTCGTCTGCAGGAATGCCGGGTGCTCCTCAATCTCCTTCTCAATTTCCACGGCCTTCTGAGCTTCTTCCCACTGACCAACCTGATAGGTCTCCTCCGTCACCGCCTCCACCTCAAGAGTGAGGGCCTTGAGGAAGCGTTCATTGGTGATCTCACCCTCGTCCTCCTCGACCAGGCTGAGCTCCTCAGACAGGAGTTGAGCTCCGCGCTGCTGCAGCTCCCCCCAGTCTGCCGCCCAGAACTCCTCTTCCGGAACCTTTAGGTTCTTGGCTGCTCCTCGAACCCGACCAGGTCTCTTCCTCGGCTGCGGGAGACTCTCTCTCTCTTCCACCTCATGGAGATAGCCTGCCTCCCGAGCCGGAACGTCAAGGTCCTCCGGAACTTCGGCCACCTCCACAATGTCCCCAGTGTGGAAGAACTTCCCCGTCTTGAGCTCCTGGACAAAATAACCCGGAGTTGTCAGAGACATCGTGACCGCGGGGCAGAGGATCCTCACCTGTGTTCGTGTAGTGGAGAGGTATTTCTGTCGATCACTGTACAGCTTCCTTTTAGCCCAGACCTGCTGCCCGAACGGAGTCAGCTCCCGCCGCTTCAACCCCATCGACTCCAACTGCCTCCTCATCTTGCATTCGGACCAGTGGCGAGCCGCATGGCACCAGTAGCTCTCGTCCAGACCGGCAGCTAAGAGGAGCGTTCTCGCACCTCTTTTCACCTGCGCCACCGCACACTCTGCTCTCCCATTTCCTCGGAAGTTGTCGGCATCGGTGAAGGTGCGCATCACATTTCTCTCACGACACCAGCGGTCAAAAGCTCGAGATTGATATTCACCTGCCCGATCTGAGTGAAGTCGTAGCACAGGGAGGCCCAAGAACCTCAGCCTCGCATGGAAGCGACTGATCGCCTCCACCACTGCCTGTCCACCGCGGTTCTCCAGGATCTCGGTCATGGTGATTTGCTTGACAGTGAAGTCTGTCTCCTTCTCCACTCTCTCGAGCCAAGCCTCATCATCCCCGTCTCCTGGCCACGAGCTCCCCGCCTCTTCCATAGACTCCTCCGCCACCGTGGTGATCTCTGGTCCGTCTTCAATGGCTCCAGGGAGTTCATCATCCTCATTGATCGGGATCAAAGTTTGGCCATCCTTGGAGACCGGAACCAGGTAGACGCCGATAAGGAGGTACCTGCCTCGACCAAGCTGATCGTCCGCCTCCTGAAAAGGTCCAGCTGTATCTATCGACAGCGTGTACGAGTCAGGGTGTGGGATCCTCTTGTGTGCACGCCCACGTGAGGCGGCGACAACACACGACTTGCATTCTCTGGAGTACGGTATATGACTGTTGAGAAGATGCTTTTTCCAGGCCACGAGGTCCATTCGCCTGACCAGTCCTTCAGGTCGTTGGAGAGCATCTCGAATCCCCGCGGCCAGTGCAGCCTTGAGACCAGGTGCCCATGCCGACCAGGTCCTACTCTGCTTGATACGCTCCGTCAAGTCCTCCGCCAGCGCCACTCCACCCCCTGTACCGGGTCCTCGAATATCTTGAAGTTCCCACAACTTCGGGACATTCGTTCCCAGTCGCGTAGGTTTCCTCCGCTGGTGACCCATGGGGCCTTGGTCGAAGCAGACCTCCATCATATTCCATCTCTCCCTGAAGCTTTTCCACTCCGGCCAACTCCAATAGGAGGCATAGCGCTGCAGCTTCTTCTCTTCTTCCCTGATGTACTCCTCGGGGTCCTCGGGCTGCTCCAAGACCGAGAGGGTCACCTGGGACTTCCTTGCTGTTGCCGCCCGATGGTACAGGTAGAGCTGCCTGAGGTAGAGGATCGTGTCGTCCTCGACCTGCTTCTGAAGATGCCTGTCCAGCTGGGGCAAGCCGAATCGATATGGGCCCTCCCTCTCCCTCAATGGCGGTGGTCCCGGCTGCCGGTATCGAAGCCGACTCATTGTCCGACATGGTGGACCTCCCAGCAGCGTGCATAGAGTGCCACTGTCAGCGATGTCCAGCAAGTACGCAAAGACGTCATCCTTCAAGAGGTTCATAGCCGGGTTGATCACGGTGTCCACGCACAACACCACCCGACTCTCTGCCTCCAGCTCCTTCTGCCAGAACTGCTTGGAATCTCCACTGAAAAGGTGGATCACAACCTCCTTCGCCTTCCGAACCCTCCTCCGTTCATGGCGATTCCACGGAAGCCCTTCTCCTGTCCACCCTCTCTTCGGTAACAGCCGCTCCAACAGGTGATGGGGAACTTGAGGAAAAAGACTCTGCAGCTCCTCTAAGTGCTTGGCTTCTTCTGCGGTCACCTCGGGTCCTCCGCTCTCACCTGCCAGGAAAGCAAGTCGAGCCCTCTCCTTCACCATACTTCGTTCTATCTCCTGGATGAGCTCCATCGCCAAGTCCTCACTGATGGTGGGACAGGAGTTCTCGATCTTGGTGTCCAGAGTGATGCCCGCCGGGTCCGTAAGCTCAAAGCGTGTCTTCTCCCACACAACCTCATACCCAAGTGAGATCAGGACTCCCAGTGGCACTATCACCTGGACCTCTTCTTTAGTCAGGAGAGTTTTTGTCCACGGGAGCATCCGGAGCACTGCTGTTCCTGCGGCAAGCTCTACATTGACCTCCTGAGCTCTTGACCACTCTTCTTCACTCACTGCTCTCCTCAAGCAGTGGGTAGCGCCCCCATCCAGCAGAGCTCTTCCTCCTTCGCGAACCTCGAGGCTACTCAGCCTGATCGTCTTCACCGACGTAGACGGCCTCAAACTCTTCAGGAGTGTCGTCGCCTCGTTCAGCAGGTCCTTGACTTCTCCAGCAGTCCCAGCTCCTCGATCCCCTTCATTGGTCGCGGATGGGTCACCTGCTTCGCTCCCCCCAGTCTTCGCCGTGGGCTCCACATTCTCCACCTTAACCGGCACTGGTAGGTTCTTCTCCTTCACCGCTTTCACCGTGGTCTTCTCGGGAGATGCCCCCTTTGGCTTCATGACTGGGCAGTCCTTCTTCGAATGTCCTTGGGCTGAGCACCCAAAACATCGTCCCTTCTTCTCGAGGCCCGTCCAGTCGTGCTTGAACTTGCAGTCCTGTCCTCTACGGCATCCCTCCTCAGTGCCCCAGAAGCGACACACCTTCTCCTCTCTGGCGGTTTCAACCTTCGCCTTCACTTGGCTCTTCTCCTGCTTCTCCTCCGATGTAGTGGACATTGCCTTCACCTTGGTGGTTGCCGGTGTCGGCCTAGTCTCCTGCGGCGGTTGCAACTCGCTGATGGCCAACGACTCCGCCTCGGCCGTGAGCATGTCCGCGAAATTCAACACGGACTCCAGCGTGGGGGTCACGTCCACTCCCAACGCCGCCCTCGTTGAGGAAGTCCTGAAAGCCGCCTGGCTCGATGCCTTCACAATCTGCTCGGACATCCTGTCCAGTGCTCCCAAGAGTAGCGTAGAGTCAGGGGTGGCGATCTCCAGCTCTTGAGCTCGTCGTAGGCTTCTCCTCCACCCTCGTAGGAGCTCTACCGTCTCATTGAGGCCTTGTGGAGACTTGGGCTCCACCAACTGGCGCAGTAGCCTCGACCTCTCTGCCAACCCTCCAGGCTGGTACCTCCGAAACAGGGCGTACAGCACATCCACGGAGCTCGAAGCCCGATTGGCTAATGTCTCGGACCTGATGGAGGTCGGGACGGCGTTCAGCAACATCAGCTGTCCTCTCTGTTCCAACCTGCTCCACACGGTGTCACACTCCCTGGGCACCTTCGTCTTGATGTGGAGCCGCTGAACAGGTTCCGCTCGCAGCCACTCCCTGTAGGCAGTCATCGCCAGCTGCAACACTTCCTCCCACCACTTCCACGAGGTAGCGCTCAAATCTCTCATGGTTGGCGAGATGAGTTGTATCCAATCTCCCAGCACCAACGACCCTAGCTCGCCTTCCCTCAACTCTGGAAGCGGTGGCAACTCCACGGAGCGAATGGCCTCTCCCCAGCCCCCATCCGATGCTCCAGTTCCCAACTGCCTCAACACCGATTGGGCGGCCTGCTCGAGCGGAGATCCCTTCCCGAGGACACCATTCTTCACCGCGCAATCCGGTAGTCCTCCACGACCAGGTCCAAGCCCTCCTGGGGTTCCATGGTGTGGAGTCTCAAACTCTTCCTTCTCATGGTCTCGCCCTCCATGGCCGCCTGCCTGAAGAGCTCCAAGCCACGACTCAGGTACTGGAGGGGGTCCCCGTCCAGCTTGATGAAAATCTCCCGAAGGTCGATGGACAGGTTCATGTAGTCCCCCATATCCCCTTCCAGGAAACTCTGGAATTGCTCCAAGGGCAGCTGTTCCCGTTCTCTTCTCCTCCTCCGGAGTAGCAGGTGGCGGACCTGACGGCGGACTCGGTGGAGGGGTCGACGATGGAGGTCTCGGACGATCCACCTCCTTGAAACCCCGGTCCTTCTCCTTGTTGGAGTCCTCAACCTTCTTCTTCAGGTCGGCCAGCTCCCTTTTGAGCATCGAATTCTGTGCCATGACGGCTTTCATCACGTCTTTGAGGTCCATTCCAATCGGGTCCTCGGTGGCTGCCTCGCTCATCGATGGTGCCGAACCCTGGGGCAGGGAAGATGGTCGCATGGCTCTCAGCATAGCCTCATCCTTCATCGTCTGCGACCAGAAAGGGTTTACCAAGGGAGCCGGATGCCCCCCAACCCCTTTTCCATCCTTCTTCCTGGATTCCTCCCTCCGGTGAGGTCCGTACGTAGTTGGAGGCCCTCGCGGCACCATCTCCTGAGAGATCACTGCCACGATCCCAGCCTCCGGAGGGGCATCCTCCAGTGCCAGGTTGCCAGCCTCCTCTTTGGCGCTCTCCATGGATGAACCTCCTTCTGGAGACTCGATGCTCGGCGCACCGCCAGCCGCCACCGCGCCGGCCGCTCCAGCCGCTCCAGCCGCCACCGCGCCGGCCGCTCCAGCCGCTCCAGCCGCCACCGCGCCGGCCGCTCCAGCCGCTCCAGCCGCCCTCCGCGACATGGCGGCCAACAACCTGGTCCTTCACACAAGGAACCCAGGGTGGTCTTCACCGACCGGAACAAATTGGGCTCATAACCCGCGTGTCCGACTGCACGGACTTTTGATGGCAAAAAAGGGCTTCGTTGGTACACTTCGGATTTGTGCGTTGCACAACCTCAAACTTGGTACACTTCTCGGTTCGTGCACCTTCTACAAACTTCAAGCATGGTACACTTCTCAAATTTATGCACCAGCAGATTCAACCGGAGGAGATTGTCCTCTACAAGTATCAACAATTGTAATTTGTAACATAGAGAGAGAGAGAGACTCAATTGCGTGAAAGAGTTCCACTAGTCCACTTGTAAGTTTTGTTTGTTGTACCGTGTGATGTAGAGTGATCCACCCATGGGAATTACATGGAATTACTATGGATCAGTTGAAAAGGCATCTAAGGCTTTAAGGCAAATAATTAATGTTTACAAATCAATGAAGCAGAGGTGCAAGTTATCTAGACATTCTTAGTGTTTGGAACCACTGACCCATACGATGTCTTACTAGCTATCTGACTAGAATGATGTGGAGGTTCTGGATTTGGTTTACGTATTCTGAAGTCGGGACTTCATGTCATCAGACCTGAGGAAGCGTATAAATTCTCTTGATATCGGTGCTGACATGGTTAAACTGCTGGAGAATGTGACAAACTCGATGAACTTCAGAGGCCAGATGCCAAGCATCCATGTATGAACCGCCAACGAATCCAGCGAATGCTCCCGCAACCAACGTGCTTTGGCTCCCGGAACCAAGGAGGTTCCTCTTGAAGCGACTCACTCAATTGACATCAATTGACTAAGTCTGACTGGTGCTTAGTAGGGAATAAGGGAATGAGCCCCCAATAGAGATTCTATTGGATCCAGCCACCCTCATTCCCTGCGAGACGCACCAGTCAGAAGTGATTCACTTGAAGGCCAAGAAGGAGTCGAGCCTTTTGCTGCCCGAGGACGACTATGTGCGTGGATCCGCAGCGACGGCGGCGATCGCACGTTCCACGGGCGAAGTGGTCCCCTACACAGGAAAAGCGGAAGATATAGCATGATACGATAATATAGCTTTAATGTTTGTTGGGGATTGGGGACACCCCACTAAACAAGAATATAATATTAGGTGGCCGAACATTATAAATTATAGCTATAGAATTCCCTGCCGAATATCCTCCATAAAATCTGGGAGCTTGAGCCCAAAACGACCCTCAGATTTTATAGACAATGACAATTTTTGTATAGAATCAAATATCAACCTATCTGAAAAAACCACCACATTTTAAACATTGGGGTCCAAAAAAGTCAGTTTGTTCTCTCAAAACATTTGATTTTATAGAGATGGCACGCCATGTCACCAGATTCTATAGAGGTCCTAACATTTGATTCTATAGAAAGCATCTGGAGTAGTAGAAGGTTGAGAATTGATTTTATAGTGGATGGTGTGCTGTGAGGTCATGAGCTGAAGGATGCTTTTTCTATGCTCTGCAAGGGGGTTCTTGCAGAGAAACATATGAGAAACCATCAGGCTCTATCTTAATTAAGTCCAACTCACTGCGCAAACCCAAGAATCTTTTTAGCAGTACCAGCGGTATCAGATGTATAATATCCCTACAGGTCAGTTTGACCTCATTTTACCGGAGGAATTGGTCATACAAACAGACTACTCGTGAAGGAGGTAAAAGATTTTACCACGTTTTTGGACCTGCCACCTTTTCAAGCTGCCACCCTGTTCGCGCTGCGTAGCTTGAAGGACAAGACCGTTCCGGCACCAATGCCGTTCCACTGCACCGGTCCTTCCGCCGACCCCTCCGTGTGCGGACCCGACCGAGGCCCTCGATCTGCGGCCTCCGTGGCGGTGACTTCGCCGTGGCCGGCGGGGAAGGCGCCGTCGAATTCGGAAACGGAAGGCCTAACCACCCTTCTGTGAAGTTCGATGCCTACTAGCGATGGCCTCCAACCTAATAGCTTCATTAGCTTCTAGCTACGTTCGTATAGCTTCTTGTTACGTTCGTAGCGATGGTCCAACCTACTTGCGATGGCCTCCACCGAGCAAAGGGTCCCAGGTACGAGCGTAGCGTTAGGCCTTTCGGATCCTTTGGTAGACGATCGCAGACGTGACTCGACCTGCCGAAGTGGCCCCAGACTTCGCTCGTGGAGGTGGAATGCCATGGAATGAAGGGAAGATCTAAAGGGATCTGGGACAAGCCAGAAGGATCCATCAAGCTGAAGGAACGAAGACTATCCATTCCATGTCAAGACACCCCACACTGGGGGGTATGTCTTTGCTCTTCAACCTGCCGCTGTGTGCTGCTCTTGCATGGTCTATGTCACTGGTCTTCCATATTGCACCTGTGTTGTTCTAAATTATGTATGTATACATATCATATATATAATTACATATTATTTAGCTTCTGGACAACCAAGCTACATCCGGTTCACCTGCGTCAGGCTGGTTGTACATCTACAACAGCGAGGGGCAGCAGACGGTGAAGCCAGACGTCCCAGACCTGCGGGCGCGCGAGCTATGTCTAACCTGGAGTGGGTCTCGATTCACCTGAGTTTTCAGGAGGATTTCAGGAAAGAATCAAAGCTTCACCTTGACAGGTCAACTCTTAGTGGTATCAACCTGGTTGACCAGATCAGACTGGTTGATCCAAAGCTTCTTTCATTTGGTATCCCCTTCAGACTCCGGGCCCCAATGGGTTCAGCAGTTCCAAAGGATTGCCTATTTCAGGATAAGGGCTGCCCAAACATCCACACACGTCCACACACTAGGGATCCAGTGCGTACGTCCTCCGGTTCGGCACGACTGGATCCTCGAAACCTACATGACGTCGTGTCTCCTTCCTCACCGTACCTGAGGTTCGGTACGACTCTATGGGAGAGACTCCAAAACAAAAAACTGTCCATTTGGACCTGCTGGCAGTTCTTCCGGTTTCGTCGCTCAGCCAATGCTGCCCAGAAATACCGACTCGCAGGAAAAGAAACGTGGCTGCTCTACAGGTTTACTGACGGACAGGCCCAACCAATGTATATAAATAATGTAATTCATCCCCTGGATATTGCAGCAGGCTGTTGAGACCCTGCAACATGGAAAAAATGATCTAGAGGAATTGAATCTGGCTCCAAAAGGGAGCAACAACGCTAGCCATTCAAGTCCTGATCCCCTCAGAGTTTCCCTTACAAAATGGTTACCCGTTACCCCTTTTTCCACAAACGTTTTTCCATGTTTTTCCCACGACATGAATCCCCAGAACACTTTTTTAAGGCCATCCACACAAGCCAATCACTATTTTTGAACAACGCCTGGAATCCAGGCCCCCTCATCATCCACTGGACGGAAGGAAATCATGCTGGTGTAATTGGAGCGCGTGATGATTGGCGGCCCTGGATGACTATCGGAGAAACCCGGTGGTTGATTGACCCGAGTACAGGTTCAGTCTGGCAGTTCCGCATAGTTCGACAGGTCGCCTGTCTGCGCATCTAGTTGACATCCCTCCATTTGCTGGCCATAGTATTGTATCAGTGGGTCACAGCACTGGTCATAGTATTGTATCCCTCCTGTTTGGCTCAAAAAAGGGTCTTGTTGATTTGTCCCGGTCCTTAGGGTCACCCGGGTGCTGCGACTTTTCCAGGTTGAAAGCGCACCGGCCACTTGGAGCTGGTCACGGGAAGAACGGGTTCCTGAGCTCGTTTGGTTTCGTTGGTTATACAAAAGCACTAGTCAAGAAGGTTTGTTTGACCAGTTACATGGGTCTCTGAACATGTAGGGAACTGGAAAGTGCTGATGGTGGAACTGGAAACCAGACCAATCATTAAATCCTGAAGCTTTAACCATGGGGACACTAAATCCCCACCAGAACAAGTCCTGGTGGTCATTGTTGTGAGTCCCTGTCTATGTGTTCGATCAAGACCCAGCTGATGATACAATACTATGACCAGTGCTGTGACCAATACTGTGCCAACATCGCAATTTCACGTGGGTGAGATTGAGCTGGGCAAACATGCAATGCTCTCCCTCTCTCTCTATAAAGTATAGATCATATTACGAAATAGTAGAGAGATAGATGTCATTTGCCCCCAAATTCGAGTTGCAAGTTGTGTGTCATAAGACGTGTCTCACTTTCAAGCGCTGGAGGCTAATGATCCTCATCCCGCTCTCCACTGTTTCAGAATCCAACTCCAACGGTCGTTTAAGGGGGATGATAGCCATTGTTTATATAAACCCTGGGAGTCAAAGACTATCAAAAGAATGGTCTTTAGGTGACCCGAAACAGGAATTTCCTTTACTTCAGTTGGTCAACATATAGTCGAACTGGACTTCTAGGGAATCATGATTGCAGGTGACCTGCTCTATGCCTTGACCAATGGATGACTGGGGCCTATTTGAGCGCCCTGGGTTTGGAGTCAACAGTCAATCACTATGCCCATCATGTTGGGAGTCAGACCCCGGATACGTAAACATTGCTACCCAGACGCTCCAAAGCCCTTGGTCCCTCAAAACCCTATATAGGGATTTGAGGGTCCGGACCCCTCCGTATGAGGGTCCATGAGCGTCTGGGTAGAACAATTCAGAGCCGTCCACAGTTCCACCAATTCCACCTACAGTTCCATGAGTTCACCGCCACATTCACCTTCCAAAACCAACGCCCTTGTTCCGTGTTCTTCCTTCGCACGGCTCCCTCCTCCGTTTTCGACGCTTGGCGCCGGGCGAAGGAAGTCGTTGAACCGCCTGATGGAGTCGAAGGACCTCCTGTTCTCCGGGATCGGATGCCCAACGACGAAGCTGGTCGCCTCCCACGAAAGGAAGGTCCTCTGAATCATGGGGGTCTGGTATCTCCCCAGATTCTCAAGGGGAATGTGTTCGCCTCCGGAAGGTGGAATTCTGACTTGAATGCGTCGATCTTAACAGTTTTGCAAGTCTGATTGCTAAGACTGGAGCTCCGTTGATGGACCTCGCAGCACAGCTCAGAATCATAACTCTAGCGTCAACCCATCGACTCGTCGGTCCAGAACTGTTGCCCCTCCGAGCCCTTTCACCCTGGGGGTGCCTCCCGCAAACAATGCAGGGAACATGATTATCCCAGACGCTCCTGGACCCGAATCCTTTGGGGTCGGACCCGAACCTATGGAGGGGTCTGGACCCTCAAAACCCGGTTTTGAGGGACCAGTCGGGCTGTTTGGAGCGTCTGGGATTAACAACACACGCAGGTCGACCACCATCAGAGTGTCGCAACCCGGAAGAAGCCCCCAGAGCGGAACACACTCCAGGGATTTTACAAGCATCCTGGAGTACGTAGATAGAGCATGAGCCAATCGAGCATGACCAGTGAAACAGCGCCCTATTGCTTTTAAGTTTCCATATTGTATTTCAGGATGACCCTGCATACCTGACCGTTGCTCTCAGCATGCTGACAGAAAAATTCGTAGCTACGTGTACGCAGAGTTGGATGGGTCGGATGGGTCGGATGATGTTTCAGACACTTCGGAGGATCAATGCCGTTGACCGGGTCCACACCAATGGGCCATGGTGCGGCCGCAGTCGTCCGAATCGTTGAGGTCGTCTGATGGCACGGTGCTCTCATGGAAAGGCCTCAAAGAAGGCTGCCAAGAGCCAGTGCCTTCGCACACATGGATGGACAGGTGTATCCTACAGAGCTCGAGGCTGTGAAGTGTATTTGTATATTTGTTTTCATGTGTTTTTCCCATTACCATTGCGTGAGCATCGGGGTGGCAATTTTGGTTTCTCCCGTGTTTGGGACAAGTTTGGACGAGTTCTCCAGTGTTCTCCGGAAGAGCATCTGGACGAGTTCTCCAATGGCACCGGCGGTTCGCATGGAGATCCGCGGCTACTGGAAAGGGTCACCTTCAAACCAATTCACCACCTTGATAAATAGATGGATGCTAGGCGGCGACTAGACTAGACAAAGAATATCAAAGCATCAGGTTTCCGTATGCTGGCTGTTTCAAGGTTTATTGTTTGTTTGTTTGTTTTGGTAACCACTGGTTGGTGTAGTGGTAACTGGAAGGTCATCAAAATATGGCCTGCGGTGTGTAAGGCCACCCAGCTGTGGTGTAGGATGGACATTTGCATTTTCAGCTTTGATGGTGTGGTACGAACTACAAGCCATTATTGGACATCAGAACGCCCATCCTTCTGGTTGACTTTGCCCAATCCCCGAGAATCCAAGCAAGCCGTTGGAGTTTTTTGCAGTCCATGTTTGACGGGGTTGAAATATCATCAGTCTACATTAGGGTGTTGTTACGGTTGTTCCCCAAGACACTCCATATGGGACTTGATTTTTGTTCTGCCACCTCCAGATTTTGACCCTATACATCAACATACATCAACCACCCCTGGCCCAGCCTTTCGGTCAATATGCCAGGCGTACCCACAGCTAGGATTTTGCCAGGGGAGTGTTCGTCCAGACGTAGAGAACTGGCTCGACTCCGGCGAAGCATACTCCTGTTGTTTGCAAAGAGTGGTTGGGACACTGACAAGGGTGGTAACCTCTCTTTCGCCAAAAACAGAACAAGGCTCAATCGCTGAGCTCTACCCGCTTGTATTTTTAAAACCGATCCTTGCTAGCCCGATCAGATTTCTTCCAAGAGCCCAGCAAGAGAAGACAAGAGTTTATCCTCCACTCACATTCACTCACATCCCCTCACACACTCTAATGAACTATGTTCCAAAAGTGGTGAAAATGGTGAATTTCCTCTCTTTCTCCTATAAGATGTGGCCTTCATGCAGTTCGTTTCTCTGTTTGGGGACTAGTCCTCTTCCTCATTTGATCTCATTCCTCATCCTCCACGGCTTCGACTATCTCTCAGGTGCAGAAGTTCGAAGGACACTCCCTGGCGGTCAGTGGCCTGGACCTTCTCGAGGTGCGTGGATCCTCTCGGAGGTTCACCGGACACACCACAGGCGTGAGACGCATTGAGGTCCAGTCTCCTGGTCGACTTGACCTCGTTAAGTATTGGTTTTGTATGACCATCCCCAGTAAAATAAGGTCTTTGACTTGTAGGGGTTTGTACTCGGGAAGAATTGGCTTCGTGAAAAGAGAGAGTCTTTGTTTCGAATAGCGATGGCCTCCACCCTAATTAGTAGCGATGCCCTTTGCTCCTAGTAGCGTCCTTGTTCCTAGTAGTAAGGCCAGGAGCCCCGTTGGTAGCGTCCTTGCTCCTATAGCATGAACACCGAACTATTCCATGTGACGCCGGTGTCCACTGCTTGCCGCGTGCCACGTGCCGTCGCCTGCCGCGTGCCGTCACGTGCGGAGCCGCCCCAGGCGGGTCTCTTCACTGGCTCCCGCGACTGCACGGTGATGTCGGGACAGCTCAGCGGCTGAACCTCCCCACCGGGGCGGCGTGGATGGGCCAGGGTTGAGCACATCGAACAACAAAGGATAGCAACAGCATGCATTGAATGCATTGAAACCACACACGACTGGTCATAGGGTCATAGTGAGGTATAGTCGGTATAGTTGTCATATCCCCACCCCTTAACCATGGATTTGAGGGGGGGGTCTGAATCAGACCCCCTCCCCCCCCTCGAAAAAATGTAACTTACCCCCCTCCAGGTACCCCAATTGAGGTGCATGAAGGGGGGAGGGGGTCTAAAAATGTAACATTATGTTTGCCAGGTCTATAGTTACATTTTCAGACCCCCCCCACCAAAAAGAGGGGGGAGGGGGGGGCTTCAAATTGTAACTTGGACTATCGAGGCCTTTATGTTACATTTTACAGGCCCCCCCCCCCGTGCAGATGTGATACTGTCAGCAAGGGGGGGGTCTGGAAATTGTAACTTGGACTCTGCGAGGCTGACGGTTACACTTTACAGGCCCCCCCATTGTGCAAATGTTCTCTCCATGTTCTGGCAGACTCGGTAGACCAGCCGCGAGATGCTGCAGATGTTTCTATGATGGCTTCTTGTTTATTGACCTACCACATAGTTGGTCCGCGATGTTTGCCTAGGTGAAATTGCGCATATCCCAGGCCTGGACACACCTAAGCTACATTTTGTTCTGGGAGTCAGGTCCATGTACTGTATGGTCCTCTATGACCCAGGATATCAAGGAGAAACAGCCCCACACAACACCAAAACACAACAAACCCACCAAAGAAAGGTAGGCATAAATGTAACCAAGACCAACTTCACACATCACGGACACACCTAAGTTACATTTTGTTCTGGGAGTCAGGTCCATACATGTGCCAACATGACCCAACTAATAAATGACAAATATCTTCACACAACACCAAAACAGAACAAGACAACCAAAACACACACCAGGTGGACAGGCTTGTGAAAATGCACACATCCAAGGCCTGCACACACCTAAGTCACATTTTGTTCTTGGAGTCAGGCCCATATATGTTCCACTATGACCCAGGATAGAAAGGACAAACAACCTCACACACCCCAAAACACAACCAACCTAGCAAAGAAAGGTGCACTTAAATGTAACCAAGCCCAACTTCACACATCACATACCAGGTGAAATTGCACATATCCCAGGCCTGGACACATCTAAGTTACATTTTGTTCTGGGAGTCAGGTCCATGTACGTTCCACTATGACCCAGGATATATATATATGTATAATGGACAAACAGCCTCACACAAACAGCCCGACATGTGACTTAATGCAAGTTACATTTTCCCTGGATAAGGCTTGAAAAAGGTAATTTACATGTTCCCCTATTTAGTTACATGTTTGTATTGAAAAATGTACCTTAATTAAAGTAGTTACTGTACATTTTTTGGTGGTTTGCCTAACAAATGTAACTTATATTTTGTTAGGTCTATGTTAGGGGAAAATGTAAGTTACAATTTTTCAGGTCCCCCCCAGAATGGGTAGGGATGTTGTCATTATGAAGATGAGGGAGTTCCATTCGCGAGAAATCCTCACGACCGACATGAATCCATGTTAAACCAGTTCTCCCCATGGTTGCCATGGTCGGACGTCCACCTGAGCCGGACGCACGTGCAGCATGTGCACTCTGCTCCTTCTCGGCCCTACCACCGACATCACTGATCGCCAAAGGTCACAACCAAAGGTCATGAGCAACGGTCAAAAAACCGAAGGTGTAAGGAGTGTGAAGTGGACTGCCCATGGAAGGTGTATATTAGTTCAGTCGACATCGAAGTTCTTCACGGCAAGACAGTGGAGGGATGTTGCCGAAGTGATCCAAGCAGTCAGGAGATAAGCCATGATAAGCCCGGCTGCTAAACGGGAATTATACGGGCTGTGCGCCCACTGGCGCTTGGCTTAACATCAATGATCTTTGTTTGGCAACCCTTGTTCAATGAACAGGGTATCAGTATCGGTACACGCACTCCTGAATCCTCCCCACGCAGAGGCCGTCGGTCACACGATTGAAGCATACACTCACCTTCTTTCAATCAACCATGCGTTGTGGAAATAGCAAGAGGATGCAAGAGAGGATACCACCATGTGCAAAGCTCTCCGATGCCGAACATGTCATTGCTCCCCCCAACCATCAAAAACAAGAGGCTTCTCATGGCTTCTCATGGCATGCGCTTTGCGCAAACCGACCTCCGTGTCTTCGAACGCCGACGACGGGTTTTCGACGGACACCGGACTGGCCGTTCGCCACGGTCTTCCTGACGCCCGAGGTTGTGGGACGTCGAAACGGGACAGTCTGCCCGACACGTCCAGCGTTGGGGGCGGGGCATGGGGTCGATGTCGAGGTTAGGCAGCGGTCTGAAATGTATACACCCAGAGGCTCCAAACAGCCATTGGTCCCTCAAAACCAGGGTTTTGAGGGTCCAGACCCCTCCATATGAGGGTCCGACCCCTGCATATGAGGGTTCAGGAGCGTTTGGGCAGTACATCTTCCGGAGGGCTCATTGGACCCTCAGTTCGCTAGGGTGAAATGACCCTCACAGCCAGGGTTTTGGACCGAACCAACCCTGTAGCAGTTTGAGGGTCTGGTGCGATGTGCGATTCAAAAGGGGTTCGTCAAGCATCACAAGCACAACACCAGGCAACCGGTCTGACCGTTGATCTTTTTTGGTGACGGGCGAAGGCTGCCGACCGGGTACAGGGGAAGCTGTTGAGGCCTCGATTTGAAGGTATTTTCAATCATCACGTGCGCCCACCTGTTGTGAGATGTGAAGAACAACAATTCAGATTTCAGATTGTCTAAAAGCCCAACATTTGTCCTGCCCATCTCGGGTTGAAGCCAACCATGCCAACCATCTTAGGTTCAACAGGCCAACCATCCCCGCGGGTCTTCCCTGTACACCGTGGCATGTACAGGGCCTCGGGTTCGAAGAAACATGGCTAACGCACGCTGGCGATCACTCGAAGAATCGATTCATTCCGATCTGTTTGAACGGAAAGGGATGTTCGAACCCATATGTTGAAGTGCCGGAGGATTCGACCCTAACTTCCACAAAACATTCCCAGTGGATCCCAGTTACCATGATATCAGGAACCAGGGATTCTAGGTCTATGGCATATATGTGTTTTTTCTTTGGAACCACTGGTTACCTATAGTGGTAACTGGATGCCCTGGGATCCATAAGACTGGTGCTCCACGTTGACCCATACAGACTCTAACTGAAGTGTGCCAGTCCCATGTTCGCACGGCCGTTGGTCTCAAGCTCTGCCGTGGGGAGCAGAGTGGTGGCCGGGGTGGACAAGATTACGATGTGTTGGAGAAGGCTCTACTAGCAATGGTCTCCAACCTAAGAGCGATGGCCTCCAACCTAATGGCGATGGCCTCTCGTTCAGGCAAGCTGGAATATGCTGGAATTGAAATTACCCCGCTCCATGGCCACAGCATCCCTTCTTGAACACGCTGGCATTGCTTCAATGACGGATTTCACATGTTTTTGGTCCCTCAGGTTTCCCATAGAAAGAGCTATGAAGCCACCGTTGATGCCATTCCATGGCTGATTTTCACTAAGTGATCCCAAGTGACTTCTGATCTCAGCTTCTCTGGCTCCCGCTCCGACCTGGAAAGACACGGAGCATCGAACAAATCTGTGCGCCATGCAATGGCGCACAGTGGCGTGCAGCTCTTGGCCATGCTCGAGCGAGGTTCATTCGCCGAGATGTTGTTAGAGAGCTTATAATCTTATAACTCAGCTGCCTTATTGGATCTTATTGGAGTTAAGATGGAACAGCCATGGCCATGTTTGCTTGTTCAAGTTTAGACCTACCTGGAGTTTCACCACTGCCGCGGGACCCCCACGGAAAAAGAAAGAACAGACACAGGTGGAAACAGGTCAAGTTTCTTTTCCCCAGGGAAACGGCTCGGGAGATTGGTTCAAGTGCTGTTCAACCGAATCCAGTACTGCCCTGCACATATCAAAGACTCAAGGAGACTCAAAACCATCGGTCAGCTCCGTGTGGAGAGATTGAGGGACCAGACGTCTCAGATTCCACCGCTGATATGGGTTTGGTCACCAGAAGGGGTGAAGTTCATGCGTTGCAGTTCTTCCGGTCGTCGCCGTTGAAGGGGGGCGGTTTGGTCATGGCCAGTCCGTCACCGAACTGGACTGATTGGAAGTGACCTCCAACTGGAGTCGAAACGGGAAGTGACCTCTTGTCCAAGGGACTGGACCAAGTGACCTCCAAGCAGGGAATCTCAAGGTACTCGAAGGGGCCTGGTCGATCAGGGTGTAGCCCAACGTACCAGTAGCCGTCGGATTTCAGATTGTATATACATAAACCCTGGAAGTCAAGTCGACCATGTTTAAAATGGTTGACCTGGTTTTGTAGGGTAAAACCCTTAGTGAAACAATGGTTGTTCGGGATTCAGGCTATTAAAACAATGGTGGGCCACTTAGGGTAATTTGAGATGTCGGCCTGCAACCGGGCCCCATCATCATTGAGCTCACAAATGGGCCCTGGAGATGGGATCTACCTAGGAAACCCAAACAACCAAATTATGGTTGTTTCCCGAGTCCCAGCCACTTCCTATGTAAATTCTGCCGTAACAACTTAATAATGTTTCTGGTTGGGACTGAGAAATCCGAGGTGTTTGAGAACATGGAACATCACGACCTCAAAAACCAAAATGTTGGTTCCTCTGTTTGATACATGGAGTCATGTCAAGTCATGTCAAGTCAAGTCATGGCTACAACGATTCTTTGGTCACATGAATCCACTTTTCACCTGCTCAGCGTTACGATTTCACCCCAACGGGCTCCAGTCGTCCTCAGCTTCGACCCTCGAAATCCATCCCAAACAGCTTCGAAACGAAGCTACGACTGGAGCCCGAACATGCCCTGACGGCACGTGCCGCGGAGTCCCCCGACGCCGCTGGCGGTCGTCCCCCGCAGTGGCCGGTGAAACAGGCTGCTCCCAGCTCCGCTGCAACTTCTGCCCCCTGACGCCTGCGGAGCTGGGCTCTCTGGGTCGACGTTTACGCGGGTCTTTGGTCACCAGCCGCCCGGCGGAGACGGTGCTTCGAAGGAAAAGAGGAACAGAACACCGGCCGGTTCGTGCATGCGTGTGTGCAGTTTTTTTTTGTTGAGTCAAACCCTGTGCCTAAGGGAACTTTCTCGCTAGATTGAAGGCAGGGGAGCTGGTTGTTCAATGCAAGTACCAGCCCAACGAAGAGGCTTGCGTTGCGTTGAACACTGATATCGGTGGGGACGCCCACCGATGCACCTGCATGGACCTAATGGGTAACAGAAGGAAGAGGTTCGTCGGCGGACTTGTGCGTCGGTTCCCTTCCTTCTGTTACCCTGGTCTACTTTAATGGGGCGATTCGTTTGTCTCGCCCCTAGCTACAAACAGGAGGCTTTTCTTTCCTTTTCTAGCTAAAAAACAGGAGGCTTTACTTCTTTTTACCTACTTGAAGCGATTCACTTGTCTCGCTTCCCTATGGAACCTACCCCCCTATGCATGCCGTTGACTCAGGACTGCTAAGTATTCAGTAACTAATCTGAGTCAAGCAACTTTTCAGAAACATTGTTCACACACTTTCATGGTGAACTGACTCCGCCACCTTGCTGCTCACATTCCTTTCTCCGTGGATTATCTCACTGGATGATACTGCATGAAACCTATCGAAGTGTGTATCGCTGCGCTTTCCCACTTGGGTGCGTAGTGTGATCCCCCGCAAGGGGGCGCTGAAACCAGGTGGATTATCTGTTACTGCTCGGCAGTCACTGCATGGATCAACTGAAATGATGCCGCCGGGCTTATGGTTTTCACACAGACATACCGTCCCCCACGATCGCGCTTCGTCGCTGGTTTGTCGGGCACCTCGCCCCCTGGGATTTGAAGGCCACTGCACTGGTGCCAGCAAAGAAGAAAGATTGAATCGACTGTGGGGATTCATCAAGGACCTTTACCAAGAAAACAGCATGGATCATGACAAAAGGCTTTGGGAACTCACGCCCAAAGATTTTGTCAAGAGTGGCAAAGCTCGATGCTAAAGCAGCTCAAGTTAGAGGACTTTGCCCTTTGCTGCGCCAGCTGGCATCAAGCCTTTTGCATGGCGAAGGCGCGCCACACCATCTTTGGAATGGGTTTGCTGTTTCAAATGACAGTATAAAGATATATATATATATATATATATCTATTTTTTAATATATATATATATACAACATATATTTCAAGACATAGTGTGAATTCTATAGATTTGCTTGTGTAATATTGAAACACTAGAAGCTCCAAAATGAAGCTTCCAGAATGAGCTTCTTGACTTCCAAGAAGCTCATTCTGGAAGCCTCAACGCAACACTTCTCAGAGAAACATTATAGATGTTCACAACTTCACCAGACACAGGAGCGGACAATTGGTGGTTGGTGGGTGACAATTGGTTGGTGGCAGTTTGTTGGTGGCAGTTTGTGGGTGGGAGGATGTTGGTGGCAAATGGTTGGTGGCAATTGGTTGGTGGCAATTTCCTGATGGCAATGGGTTGGTGGCAATTGGTTGGTGGCAATTGGTTGGTGGCAGTTTGTTGGTGGCTATTGGTGGGTGGCAATTGGTTGACGACAACTGGTTGATGACAATTAGTTGGTGACAATTAGTTGGTAGCAATTGGTTGGTAGGAATTGGTGGGTGGCAATTGATTGTGGGTGGCAATTGGTTGATGACAATTGGTTGGTGACAATTAGTTGGTGGCAAGTGGTTGGTGACAATTGGTTGGTGACAATTGGTTGGTGGCAGTTGGTTGGTGACAACTGGTTGGTAGGTCTCTGCCCTTCTGAAATGGTTATTTTTGAGGGTCTGTTTTTTAAAAGACATGGTCCTCAACCAATTGTCATCAATCAGTTGTTACGCCAACCAATTGCCACCCACCAGTTGTTGTTGTTGTTGGCCCATCTTGGGCCCACGTTGGCCCATCTTGGCCCTATGTTGTGCCCTCTTGCAGCCTATGTTGGGCCCCTCTTGGGCCTATGCTGGGCCATCTTGGGCCTATCTATATTAGGCCATCTTGTGTCTATCTTGGACCTATCTTGGGGCCTCTGTTGGGTCATCTTGGGGTACATGTTGCGCCATTTGCGTTGACACGGGCCCATCACTTAAAAAACATCGATTATGCACGTCCGCGCGGCGCGCAGTTGTAAAACCCACGGTTTTTTCCAGCATTTCGCCACTGTCCAAATTCTGGATCTTCCACGCCCACAAACCCTATAAAACACAGTGTTTTTAAACACCTCGCACGCAAATCACAGCGAAACAGTGGCGGAGACCCCCCAGCGCCGGCCAGCACCGGGGCGTATATCCGACCCCCTGGAGAAGTCATTGGTTGATGACAATTGGTTGGTGACAATTGGTTGGTTCCTGAACAATTGGTTGTTGACAATTGGTGGCAATTGGTTGATGACAATAGGTGGGTAGCAATTGGTTGATGACAATTGGTTGATGACAATTGGTTGATGACAATTGGTTGGTGACAAATGGTTGGTGGCAATTGGTGGGTGGCAATTGGTTGGTGACAATTCGTTGGTGGCAATTGGTTGTTGACAATTGGTTGATGACAATTTGTTGGTGGCAATTGGTTGGTGGCAGTTGGTTGGTGCGGGAGGCGGGAAGAGGAGGAAGGAGGAGCGGATACCACACTAAAAACAAAAACCCCACGTCAATGTGGGGAACAAAAAATTTTCTAGGAGCTTCAAAGCAGAGCTGGCGGTTTCATTTTGGAGTTTCTCAAAATCGAGTTTCCCGAATCGAGCATCTGCGACCTTAAGGGTGCATGCAGGGGGAAATCTAATAAGAATGCTCCTAGTAGCGATGCCAGGAGCCCCTTGTAGTTCCTTGTTAACAAGAATGCTCCCGGAGGAAACAAGTTCACAACCATGGCCAGATTGGCCTGAGGTTTCGCGAGATAACCAGGATGCTTTCATCAGACATGTCCGTTATATGCCTTATTTTAAAAACATAGATACAATTCGACATCCGAACGCTTCGTGAATTAGTCCCTGGGACCGTGGCTAATTAGTTTGGTAAGCCTTGATGGAGTCATAGACGTGCCTCTTCGTTCGTTTTTGGTTTTGTGGTATATTCCTGTCCGCGCGCCAGCTTCGTGCAGTTCGGTTTCACTTGTTTTTGGTGTACACACTACGGTTTTGTTATATTTGTCACATTCCGTCATTCTCACGTACGACGTCCACCTCCACCCATTGTGGACGAGAACAGTCCGCAAGTGCGTGCATCCAAATTGGGGGGTCTTATTGATCAAGAGTCTACTTTAGGTGGTCATTCGATTCCATGCTAGGAAAATTTTATCCTTTTGCCTGGCCGCACATGCTAGACATGGCGGCCGGCTCATGTCGGCACGAGGGAGCCGGAGCACTTTCACGGCCCATTTGGGCTCCACAGTGGCCTACTTACTTTGGCCAAAAGCACCAACCACCCAGTCAGACAACCATATACCAGCAATATACCAGCATTCTAGATCTGCCAGATCACCGCTCCACTTTCGCAAAGTGGGCGGCCGAGGCTTAGATCTTTGCTACTGTGACCTGGGTCCTCCCGGCCTCACCGCCTTTGCCACGGCCCTCGAACGCGAAGACGATGAGAACCGCGGGAGGCTGGAGGAATTGAAGTTCCCTGGCACGGATTTTGACGGATCGGGCGCGTGGAGCGCGGATCGGAACCTGCGTGTGTTGGGGAGTTTTGGCCGGAGATTGCTTTCATAATGGGGTACATGATTCATGAGAAACGGATGTTTTGTGGCGTGCAGTTCTGCAAGTGCAAAGATCTTTCTGTTTTTGTAGTGTTGAACCGGGGGGCATGAGAGAAACACCTTATCTCAAGTAGTGTTGATGCATGTTGACGAGCAGTCTTCAGAATAGAGTGTATGCAATGAACACACCCACACACGCACACACACACACACACTGGAGAGCTTCCTTCCAGGTTGTTGCAGTATTGACCACATTCAGCTCACTGTGGGAAACCTGGTTCTCCGAAAAATCGTCGGTGCAAAGAAACGACTTCTACTTGTTGAGCTTCAAATTTCTATAGATTCCCTTCCTACTTTTGATGAAAGAACTGATTTCGAGGATATGCAAAAATGGTGCCAGCTGTAGGATTTATTCCTTCACTGTTGTCAGAATATGTTGTACCACCTCAATCCCTTCCAAATCCTGGTACCTGGAGTCGATCGACCTGTTCCTTAATGAGTATACAGTCGTACCTGCTTTATGGGAACATATCCAATTTTTCTACGAGACTTGAAGTCAGGTCGACGTATTGAGATTACTTTCCCGAACCGAACCTTCCAGGGCCCTTGGGAGGGCTCATTCTTCTTCTGGTCTGCCAAGAAGACACACCCAGGTCGGTAGCTCCTAGGGTCTAACCCCTCCTTCTTGTCCCTCTTCTTCGGAAACAAACTATAAAGAAAACAGGTACTGGATCCTACAATTGATATACATTCAACAAATCCTATCAAAACAGGGACTGGATTCTATAATTAAACAAATCAAATAGATTTAATGTATTCATTTCTCCTGTTAATTCATAGAAACAGGTTGGGTGCCAACGGCTTGGGCGTGTCCGGTGCCGCCGTGGCGGGTGAGCTCTGCCAGACCTTGGCCTTGCAGCGCCGCTGGGGCGAAGCGGTTCGGAAAGGAGGGGTTTGGAAGGAGTCGAAGAGACACTTGCCCTAGGGCTCCAAGTACCTTCTAAGTAGGTGAGGTGGGTGCCATGTTCGGGCTCCAGTCGTACTGAACCGGTTTGGAGGTACGACTGGAGCCCTAGGGTTGGTTATTTGTCTATTGATTTGGTGCATCGAGAGGTGCACAGGGAGAACAGCATCACTGAAACTGTCTTGGGAGAGAGTTTCTTACCTTGCCAGGGTTGGAATTTCGTAGATGGGATGTAGATACTTTGCCACAATTTGTTCTTGTTGACCAGTATGATATTGGATACAGGACATCCGGTGAAGTGTGGAGGGCTGTCAGCCATGCACAGCCCATATACCTACCCTTCAGTTCATACCCTAGAGTTCTTTAGAGAATGGGGCGGCATGACCCCATACAAACAGGTACGACTGTACTTATTAACGAACAGGTTGACTCCAGGTATTGCTCTTGTATTGCGGCTCAATGTTGGATGACCATGTCGGCGCACCCTCCGAGCCCTGAAACGCTGGCGCACCGTATGCCAGTGATTTCAGGATGCTATTGCTCATGGATAGCTGCCAACTAAACCCAAAGATTTACCCTCTGAAGACTAACAAAGACCCTGAAAACCACTGGTTATAGAGGAAAACAGTCTTTAAAGAGTGCCATTTGATCCGGGTCCATGTGAGTGTTCGGGAGCGTTTCGTTGATCGCATCTGTGGCCGTGTCTGTGGCTCCCTGCTCCTTTGTTGCCCACACATCCAGGGCCTGGCACTGAATACAGAAACGAGGTGCCATGTGCAAGTGTTACCGTCATACCCAGGGCATCCAGGCAAAGCACTATAGCTGGGAGTCCAAGTGGTTCCAAAGACTAGAACCATAGACCGAACGAATCCTTGGTTCCTTACATAGTGGTTTGCCTGGGATAGACTGTACTCCAACCTCTCCACCTAAGAGACGGGACGGCCTCCAACCTAAGAGAGATGGCCTCCCACTTCTCAGGTCAGATGGCCAAGACCTGAGTTCCCAGCCCAACTGATCCCTCCAAAGCCGGGAGAACGGTGAGAAACCCTCCGACCCCTCCGTTCCGGTCTCCGACCCCCGTTTCGGAGGTCTCGGGGGTCGGGTCGATAGGGAGACCCCGTTTGGGAGCCGAGTCTCGGAACGGGGAGTCGGGACAGCGATTTTTCGTTTCTACGTACGTACCTGATCTAAGGTCCAGGTCCAGTCTCCTGATCTAGACGACCTTCTTAAGTATTGGTTTTGTGTGACCATCCTCAGTAAAATGAGGTGAAACTGACTTGTAGGGTTTCATCATTTGGTTTAGGCCAGGTGCTTGAATGCCCACCTGGCCTAGGTAGGATGATCACTATCATCCTAGCAGAAAGCACATCCTGTCTGGGACTGAAAGAATATGCCGATCAGTTGGCCCCTTTTCAACCAGCTGAACTGATCGGCAAATATCAAATATGCCAGTCCCAGACAGGTCGTGTTTGGGTATGGACTCCGGAAGAGCTACACTGTGCTACACACCACCGGCACTGTGCTACAGCGAGGTTTGGATTTAGAGATCAACGAGCTGCACGACGAGGCGGTGCTGCGCCGCTGCACGTGGAGAACGGGTGCAACAATGCCGATGACGTGGTACGCTGGTGGTGTTGAAATGTATCATGGATTCTGAGTCGGATGGAGATAGGGAGTGAGGTCTCTCAGAATCACATACTGTGCTTGTTCATGGGGTGCTTCTTTTTTTTCAAGGAAAGACCTTTAAACACATCATTTTCCTGACAAAACCCTTGAAAGGAATATAGGTAGGGAGTTAACTCAGCCCTCCCTGTTGCGGTGGATTTAAAGCCTGGATAAGATGATGTTTCCGAATACTAAACGGGGGATGGTCCACTTCCATGTTCTCTTTTTCAGGGAGTTGACTTAGCTAGACTCGCTGTTCAACATGCTTTGGAGAGACTCGCTTTTCAGCAAACTTTCACAACAGATGCAACAAAAGACACTTAGGCTGGGTGAGAATCCTTTTCAAGGGGGCAAGCCCTGTTCGAGGCACATCCCACGAAGGATGCCTCTTTTGGAAACCATGACCTGTCGCCACAAAAGATTTGAGGCTCCAGGCTTTGACACCTCACCATTTTGGGGCTGCCTGACAGAGTGTTCTTCTGTAGCTCACAGTCCCGAAACACCAGGTTTGGGGGTGTGGAGGTGGAGGTGGGCTCGGGACATAATGGTTACCCTATATTACCCTCACTCTGGCAAGACATGGCAAGAAAACCATGACATGAGAGTATGACTAGCCTTCAGAGAGAATAATGATATAATCTATTATCAGTATGATATCATATATTTTATGTAGAATGCATGTCAGATGAGTCTCTCCGTACATATTTACATATGCTTGAGGTCAACCAAGGTATCCTGGTTTTTGACCCGCAGCCAAATCACCCTGCCCTTAAACATCCAGCCCTTCTTCCAATGGAAAAGGTGTGGATTCTTGGATGGAACGGGGGAGCCGGACCTTGTTTTTTGTGGGTGGGGGTCACTTCAGGGGGTTGTCTCCACCTTCAACTCGGGGTGTTCCTACAACAACCGTTCCGGACGGGCCGAAGCGACGGACGAGTGCGGCACGTCCGACAGGCGAGTCTGTCTCAAAGTCCGAACTCGGCTTCAACCAATCCAGTAGTCAGTAGTGGCTTGTGGAAGAGCCTGGCAAGAGGTCAGGGCACAAGAAATATGAGATACGTTGATCATCGTGTATCCAAGTCAGCTTCTGTACAGACATCCGACCAGGTGAATTGAAGGCATCCGCTTCGTGTTGGTGGTTTAGGGTCACTGCGCTGTTGATTTGGGGCAGTTTCTCTACAGAAGAAGCTTGAAGGATGTTGCAGAAGTTTGTTCTTTCATACCAACCCAAATTCCGGCATCGCGACCTCTCCATTTTGCGAGCGCATGTAACGTAGTTGATTGCACGGGAGCGCCAATAGCACAGATACATCGAAGGCACTTGCGAAGAATCTCTCTGTGCACATGTTGGGACCAGCAGCTGCAAGTTGGAGACCTACAGGTTTTGCGTGGTTTGTTTCGGCAAAGCTGGTCTTATGATAGACCCTCCGTGCACAGACTCGAGGAGTAGTTTTGCGGGCGTTGACACTTCTGGCCGCGTGAGTTGCCAAGTCCGGCACTTGGTTGTTAGGGACCTTTTCGGAGTTCGAGGTCGGTGTTCACTTCAACCCCAAGAACACTTCATGGGGCTTGCTGTGGGACTTGCATATCTCGCTGAGTTTGTTTGAGGTTTGGGGCCCAAGTAGGAATTCTATTTCAGGGTCACCAGTCGAAGTCCTGCCGAAAGCACCCGGAGCCCGGTCCACCCGGTGAGACATCCTCACCGGGAAGCACACTGCCAGGGAATTCGAGCCTTCGCGCAGAAGGCGACCGGCCCGACACTTGAAAGCCCTGGATTAAGCAGTGGTGCCACTGCTTTTGTTCGAAAGCAGGCACTGCCATGCAGGAAAGCCGCACGATAAATACTGCTTGTCAGTAGATCACTTACAGGAATTAATGCGCATCAAGGCCAGCGCCGTATCAGTTGAAACTTTGCCAGTCCAGGGATTAGGGAGGCACCTCCAGTCAAAGGATTTTGCACAAAAAATCAAAAGATTAAGTTTTTACCGTGTGTGGCAAAAATGTTTTGGTTTGTTTTCATTACTTGAAGATACGATTCTAAAGATTGGAGGATTGTTCTTCTCAGTGACACTGGCCACCCACTAGTTACCAAACAGTTTATGGTTCCAACATGTTTGTGATTCCATTTCCAACATTACAGAAAACCACACGTTGTTTTTAACAATCACGTCGTTACAGGTAAGACCAAGGTATCACAAAAAAATTGCAGGGGAACCTTCAGTTTCAATTGGAAGGGGATTCCATTGCATTGTTTCATTGAAATCTTTCGGTTTTCCACAATCATTGAAGATGACTACCAGATGATCCATGTTGGGTTGGTGTTCATTCACCGTTGAACAATAAAGAACTTCCAGCTCCCAGATTTGATGGAACATCCAAACCATCCATCATTCGTGAGGCATTCGCCTGCGCTTTTCTGTTCTCCTTGACACTGCGGTCCAAAAAACCCAAACAAAAGGGGTGAATTTCATCCACCTTAAATTTAACCAATTAGTATTTGATTTGGAGGCCCTGGGCGCCGATTGCAGCCTACAACATTTGGATTCTTGGACAAAAGTGAGTGTGTCCAGTTTTCAGAGGCCTTAAGATCGTAGTCCCCTCAGTGAAGCGAGTTGATCGCTCATGGATGCGGACCCCGACGTGATTTGACTATAGGGGTCCCCTTTTGCACGAGGGATTGGCCAGCACAAAGCAACCAGTCCATGTGTGTTTACCTAGACCCGACTTCGTTCGTACCCTAGAAAATGGGACATGACCCTGTATTGAAACGAGTACGATATGATGATATGACTGTACCATACTGTACCTATATTGTCGGGAGCACGAGCTGAGGATCCAGGTACAGGTGCATATAAGAATCGAAAGAAAGAAATGGTTGGAAGGGTTGAACATGGTCGAACATTGTGGCACATCCCAAACAATCCAAACATCACATTGAGTGGACTTCCATGGGTTGGTTGCATTGCCCCTGTCATCCTGAAGGACGGTCGTTTTTTGATCGCGTCTCTCACGTACTGAAAGGTGGAGCAAAGAAGGAGACGACGGACCACACCCAGACACGCCATGTATGGCATAATATGGCACATAGTATATGCCACATTGGTAACTCTGGAAGAATCCTTCTTATGTGTATATATATATATTCAATATACCATCCATGGAGTGTTTGAGACATGGATGATGGCCTCATCTCCTCATCCTTTTTCGGAAAACATGAGTTCGAGTGGTGATTTGTCCCGGTTCCGGGTGAATCTCATGAAACATGGACCAGAGGTTCTGAATCGAACCTTGGATTACCTACCCCAGCCTTCTGTGGATGGGACCCTAAGTCGTGTCTCCGAAACTCGGAGGGCCCATGGCCCACCTCCTAAACTTGGCGTATATAATATATATATACATACTTATAGAACCCAGACATGACCTTTGTTTTGATAGGAAAAGACCATGTTTTGGATCCCAACCAGGGGTCAATCAGGTTCTAGATATATATATATATATATAGGACACTAGCGTTTTGTGGTCGCATGGGGGGGGGGTGCGAGTGAAGGTTTACCTAGCCGGAGGTGGGTGGAGGTCGTCCAAAAAGGCCCCAGGGCCGACCCTATACGCAAGAATATACAGTGGTTTCAGAGTAGATGGCACAGACCCCAAGATGTCTTGTAGATGGGGTCCATAAAAACCACCTCTTGGGGTCTGCGCCATCTACTCTCAATCCACTATAACTGCTAGGACTTTCCAAGTGACCGAACTTGAGCCTTGGATGAGGTCAACAGGCCTGTTCGACAGGTAAAAAGTTCATGAAGAGAGATTCCGGAGAGGTCACGAACGGTCAGGTACAGGCGTTTGCTAAGATGACCACTCAGGAATCTGACTGCGGAAAACATGAGGACTTACACTGCCAGAGGGCTTCTGTCAACCTCAGTCCATGCTCAGTCCACCAAAACAGAACTGTGTGGGGGGCTTCCATACTTCCCATAGCGAAATCATGATGTCAACCCTGCCGGCGCAAGTGGGAGATGCTCTTCAGTGCCTCTTAAAATCGTCACTCCCCACTCCCCGCTCCGCTCCCCTTTTTTTCACGAGTGTGCGCACATGAGTTGGTGAAAGGGATGACCACTTGGCACCATTGCCCCCGTTGAGGACCTGGGTATGAATGGAATTCACCAAGAAGGGGCACAGGCACTGGCCAGCAGCCTCAAATTCAACAGGCGCGGGCGGATCTGGACCCCCCAGCTAAAGGTGATTCAGTTCATGTCGTGCGCCACCAAGACCGCCACGCCACCAGTTCACGTCCCGTCCCGTTCGAGACCCGTTCACTCTGCTTCGCGTTTGTTGATGCTGAACTGCGGAGAATGAAGTGTTTCAAGGAACCTTCAGCCAGGAGTCACATGTCGGGGTGGCTTTTAGTCCCTAAGTGAGTGGATAATGGACACCCTAGGCACGCACCCCTTTGTGACTCCTTGAAGATTCAAGCACGAGATCTTATGAGTCAGGGGCACAGCCGGGCACAGCCCATCCTCAGCTTTCTCAAGGATTCCCACAGAAAACCCTTCAAAGATGTTCCAATCCCTATGGATCCACATACCTTCTCAGAAGATCATTGGACCCTCCATGGTCCAAGCCGACATAAATAGTCTCCCTGCTCACCGTACCGACCTGGTTCGGTGGCAGTGGATCCATAAGGGACTATGGCAACCCATCCAATGACCGGCGGAGCTCCCGCGCCGAACTCATCGTGTGAAACCACGGTCGGTGATGTAAATCGTCACCGACATGAAAAAGAGAACTTGACTGTCCCAGAACTAGAAGGGGATGTGAAAAGAATCACGTTGTGAAGGATCCCTGTGACCGTTGGCAAGACCCACAGGCAAGAAAGGTCTCACCTGAATCCGCTCTCGTCTCATCAGCATCCTTTTTGAGTCTCTTTGTGCCCGGTTCCCTAAAAGCTGCGGTGCCCGAAGTGGCTCTGTTTTGGACAAACATGGTCTTCTAAGAAAGAAATCCATAGAAATCCATCCCATCCCTCCAACAAAAAGCAGAAATGAACACAAACCAGCTGCTTCCGTTCGGGGTCACCTGGCTGGATCTCTCCACACTACTTACAGTGCTTACAGGTCTCCCGACAGGAAGCGCTAGGAACAAACAAGTCGACAAGTAAATCCAGGACTTCCAAACGAGGCACCCCGACATGGGAACCCAGAAATCGTCTAGACATACCTGGAGTCGACCTGTTCGTACATACAGTCCAACCTGTTTGTGTTCGGTTTCATGTCTCATGTCTCATGTTCGTTCGGGGTACAATCCTCCAGGTCGGGGTCCCGGTATCTCCACTTAAAGGGTACGTAGAGCCTCGCGTTTGTGCTTCACCTCGAGCTGGAGCTTGTAGATCGCGACACGTTCGCTCCGCACATACCTCACTCCTCGCAGATCACTGACCTACCTGGACCTGAGCTTCAATTGCCTTGGTCCTCAGGGTGCTTTGGCGCTGCGCTCCGCACTGGAGCAAAGCCACTTGCAGGTCGTGCGGGGCGTGGGACCATGCGGACAGGTTTGAGACCCTGTAACACTCCATGTATCCCTAGGGCTCCAGTCGTACCTTCTAAGAAGGTGTTTGAGGTGGATTTGGAGGGTCCAGTCATACCTTCTGAGGAGGTACGACTGGAGCCCTAGGGTATATGGCATCCAAGAGACCTGGCATCTTGACAGATCAGTTCGGGTGGTTGAAAACGAGTCAATGCAGTCCTATTCAGTCCCGCATGCCAACTTTTGTTTGGTGGTTTAGTAGAAAGTTGACAGGTGGGAATCGGGAATGTGAAGGAAGTTTGAACCATGTTTACGTCCAACTACTTTCTGAGAATGTTACGAAAGCCAGCCTTCGTAGAAGGCGCCAGCGGAGTTGTGTTTGGCGAACGAAGTGAGTAGTTAGGGGGTCTGGGGGGGGTGGCCCGCAAAAGGTACACGTAAACTCGGCACATGCTGGGGGAGGAGGGTGCGTCGAGGAAAGTTTTTTTGAGGTTGTGTTGGAGGTGATTTTTGAGGGGTGGTGATCCAAGAAATGCAATTTGCATCACTTGCATCATCTGAATGGAAAGGTGTAGTTGGCACCTTCCCAGGTATAGAGACCCAGGGTAGCTAGCAGCTACCAGGTATAGTACTTCAAGTTCCTTCGTCAACCGCTCGATATTCTCTGCACACGCACAGCAATCCACAGCTTTGAAGCCTCATGCGCGCGATACCTGGGAACAGAATTGTAGCTACCGAGGGTCCGTATGAATGCTATGTTGCTATACCTCTTACACACCTATACCAGTTCAAAGCACGAATGAGACTTCATAGCTGTGGCTTGCTGTGCATGTGTGAATCGAGAAAGATATACGTAAGCTCTGGAAGGTGATGCTTTGATGCTTTTGGAGCGGGTGGTGACGCACTCGCCAACGAGAACATATACCCTTCAATAGGAACTCGAACAGCTCAAATCCAGAAGATTCTGAAAATGGCCTGGCTCACTATATGAAAACCCTGGGAAGACTGGGAAGCGAGGAGGTGGAAAGTCCTTTGCTCTCGCTTGGCAGTCCTTCATTTTCAAGGTGGCCTGAACAGAGTGTTTTAGGGCAGCAAACCCTGGTCTCAGGCCACCTTGAATTTAGCTTGAAAACCACAGCTTTGAAGCCTCATGCGCGCGATACCTGGGAACATAATTGTAGCTACCCTGGGTCCGTATAAAAATGCTATGTTGCTATACCTCTTACACACCTATACAAGTTCAAAGCACGAATGAGACTTCAAAGCTGTGGTTTGCTGTGCATGTGTGGCTCGAGAAAGATATACGTAAACTCTGGGGGGTGATGCTTTGATGCTTTTG